CCCCCCCCCCAACTCCCCAGGGCAAGTTTCCAAAACACTGGGGAGAGAGTATCAGCAGCTTTTCCTCCCAGATTAGGGGGGAATTAGCTGAAGACTGGGAAAAGGGGCTTTGTTGTGAATGCCGAATAGTACAAACATTACTTCCTCCCTGTTTCTAATCTCCTAATTAGCACTACTGCAGTCTGTTGTAGACTGAGGGGACAAAACACTGAAATATTGTCAGTCACTCTGTGCTTGATGGGAATCAAGTAGGACAACAGCTAAAACTTTAAGACCCTCAGGGTCTGACCCAGATGGAAGGCGCAGGAGAGGCAGAAAGCAGGAGAGAAGGGAAGCAACAACAGCCGGGCATAAAGATGCTTTGGTTAAAAGCCAGGTATAAAAACACCCTGAACAACAACTTTAAATGAGATCATGGGCTGCCTGGTGCTGCTAGGATTGGGCCATCCTTCAATTTTAGTCTTTATATATATGGTTGGTAGAACCCATGGGTGTTTTAGAGAGGGAGAGTCATGTCTAGGGTTGAAGATAACTGTTCTATCCTGAACTGAAGAGACACTACTGGAACTGAGTGCAAATCTGGGCAAAATGGTCTCATACAAGCCTCGTTGCGTGTGTCTGAGATGACTAATGCACTGTGGCCCCTGCACAGGATCATCTCTTAAGCCAGAAAGAATGTGTTTACGATGTGGAAGTATTTCTGCGAGAAATGAGTGACTTTGTCTAATATTTCTAAGAATAGTATTTAATTTAAAGGAGAGCAGGAACATGGAACACCCACCCAGCACGCATGTTGCTGTAGCACAGGCATTACCACCTCTCTACGTTTTATTGACTGGTCCCAAGAAGTGTAACTCTGTGGTTCCATTTCTCAGGTCGTGTTGATGGCAAAGACAAGGAAGGGACTGAAGCTGAGGAAAAGAAAATGAAGGTAAGCTCAAAAATAGAACCAGAGGTGACCTCAACCCAGTCAGTGCTGTGCACGTTCCTGGCTCCCTCTCCTGCTCTCCTTGGCTGCAGTTGTGCCTCTTAGAAATCCTTCCCATTATCTTCCATTCTTCCATCCATCTTTCATGAGTTTTTTTTATTTTTGTCTTCCCTCATTCCTTTGGATGGTGCAATTCATGGAGATCTTTGAGGGCGAGGAAGGAAACCAAAGTTAAACCAAACATGTGTCTCCTGGGGTTGGGCGGGTGGTTGGAGAGATCATTTTCCCAGCCTGAGACTGGAAAGCAGCCAGGTGGCTTTGCTGGGACAAACTGGTGCAAAAGCAAACTCAAACCTGCGTTGGGCTGTACTGGGGACAAGTGGTGTAACAGTGAAAAGAGCAAGAAGTGTAATTAAAAAATTAAATTAAATAATCTAGCCCTTGCAGGTGGTGTGTTCTGGGTAAGGAACAGAGTTTAAATTAAAACGGAGTGGGTAAATTCCAGAAGTTTAATGGTATCTGTCACGCTGCTGATTTCATAGAATCATAGAATTGCAGAATGGTTTGGGTTGGAAGGGACCTTAAAGCCCATCCAGTGCCCCCTCCAACCTGCCCTTGAACCCCTCCAGGGATGGGGCAGCCACAGCTTCTTTGGGCAACCTGGGCCAGGCTCTCACCACCCTCAGAGTGAAAAATTTCTTCCTAATTTCCTCTGGAGGAGGTTCAGCCCAGCTGGCCGTTACCCTGGCTAGTGCCTGAGCGAGATGATGGACAAGCTCTTGGGCGATTTAGTGGGTGAAGTATCAAAGATGAGAAAATATAATTATTTTCAAACAGTGTAAAATTGGATCTTTCTCTAGGGAGGTTTGGCAGGGTTGGATCAGATTAGACATTTGACACAATAGCAAGCAATTGTCTAGATAAAAAAACCCAGTGATCCATTAATGATAAAAGTGGATGTGGTGGGTTTGGATGACCTGGGAGCAGGCATCTGCATCTCCTTGGTGTTCATGGTGCTGCACCTGCAGCATCTTTGCCAGCGGAGCACATAGAGAGTTTGGTAGTAAATAGAGACGTATTGCACCTTCTAATCCAATTTCATGTTAGTGATCCCCTTTTGTTTCCCTTCCATACTCATTTTTTGTGTTCCAATTTTATTTTTTTTTTTCCATGTGTAAGAAATCCTCACCTTCCACTGCCAAACCCCCAGGCGCTAGACCCTCCATCCCTCCCCAGCGACACACCTCCTCTAGCACAACCCCTTCGAAAACACCCTCCAGCCCTGCTTCCACCTCCAAACGCGTCTCTGCTGTCACATCCCGACCTGCCAGTACAGGAACGCAGGAAATGAAAGCCAAGGTAAGGGAATGGGATGTGAGACAGGCAAAGCTGTCTTGGGGAACACCTTAAAGCATTCCTGACAGGTCTGGCAGGGGCATCTCCATGTCCCATTTAGTTGAGAGGGTGGGATTGTGCTTCCCCTTCTCCTTCCAGTGGCCGTGACCAGTCTTGACTCCAGTTTTGGTGTTTGAATCAAGTGGGTCCATCTCATCAGTATGTAGGTCTCTTGGTTTGTGTTACAGAAAAAATACCTCATTGCAACTGGGTGCTTCTGGTCTCTCTAAGGAATTTCCAGGTCTTTTTATGCTCTTTCGTGTGCTTCTTTGTCTCGCAGCTTTATGCTGTGTTTTGTGGATGCCTTGGCTGTAAACAGCAGATGTATTTGAGATGTGCCAGAGCCAGCTCTGCCAGGTGCTACTACACAGAGAATAGGAAGTGCGCGCACATCCGTGGTTATTCTGCAGTGTAAAAAAGTGGCTTGGAGTTTCCCCGTGGGGTGTTTAGTCACACCAACACACCCACAGTGAGGGGGAGAGCAGAGATTGCAGGTCGCAGACAACGGGGTATGGTTTTACCGCAGTAGGGCTGGCGATGGCTCTGCTCTGCCTCCCTGCTGCCTGGGGACCAGTCAGTGTGTAAATTGTCACTTGCGTGTTTTTCATGAGCTTTTGCGCCCAGACCAGCCTTAGAAACTCATCAGAAAGAGGATGTGTCTTAATTTATTGATTTGGGGAAGCTTTTCTGCAGGACCAGAAGAGAATAAATAGCATGTTGTTCTTTACGTGCCATTACAGATTGTGTACATGTTACAGCAGTGTGTTCCAGGGGGGGATAAATGAGGAGCTTCTTTGGGTTTGGAGTCCAGCACTGTTCTCCTGAACAGAGCCTCTGGTCTAATCCATGGATTTATTTGTCTTCTGTACATAATTTTAGCAGGACAGGGGGAACAAGATGGAATTTGGAGAACAGGGAAAGGATGGGAAATGGGGTGTGATGAGGCACGTCGATGATTTGCCTGCGTGTGGGGAAACCAGTGGGAGCTCCCATGGGCTGTCAGGGTCTGGTGTGGCTCTGATCCATGAGGGGTGATGGCCCATGGCCACGCAGATGTCTCCTGCATGAGCTTTTCCCCCTTGTGTCCCCAGGGCCCGGAGATGAGAAGCGGCACGAAGACGGCCACGCCGCGGTCTGCAGCCGGGCAGGCTCAGAGGAACTCCACCAACGCCACGCGCATCCCAGCAAAGACCCCCACGGCCCCCAAGACACCTCCCAGCTCCGGTAGGTGATGGCAAAAGCAGCGTCCTGCTGCCTTCCTGTGCTGTCTCTGACTCCAGAAGCTCTGCTTTGGTGGTGCTCCCACGTTCTCTACAGAGTTATTTGGAGATAGTGAACAAATTTGCCCTGGTGCAGGCTGGGCTCATCGCATAGAATCATAGAATCATCTGGGTTGGAAGAGACCCTTGGGAGCATCGAGTCCAACCATCTCCCCCACTCTACAAAGTCCTCCCCTACACCATGTCCCTCAGCACTGCATCTAAACGGCCCTTAAACACAGCCAGGGATGGGGACTCCACCCCCTCCCTGGGCAGCCTGTTCCAATGCCCGACCACTCTTTCGGTGAAAAATTTTTTCCTAATGTTCAATCTAAACCTCCCCTGTTGGAGCTTGAAGCCGTTCCCTCTCGTTCTGTCACTAATTACCTGTGAGAAGAGACCAGCACCAACCTCTCTACAGTGTCCTTTCAAGTAGTTGTAGAGAGTGATAAGGTCTCCCCTCAGCCTCCTCTTCCTCACACTAAACAGCCCCAACTCCCTCAGCTGCTCCTCATACGATTTGTTTTCCAGCCCCCTCACCAGCTTCGTTGCCCTCCTCTGCACTCGCTCCAGCACCTCGAGATCTCTCTTGGATTGATTGCACGGTGCTAAGCAAGGGGGCTGTGTGGTGGTTTGAAGCCACTCAGCCTCGTCACGGGGCTGTGGGTTCAGAGCTGGGGACGATCCCTCTGAATCGAGCCTTTCTGGATGCTGCTTCATCTGCTCTGTTCATGGAGTTGTGTCCTGGTTTGGGGTGCAGCAGAGCCAGTGTGTAGAAGGCGGCGCTTGCTTTATCCCTTTGGAATTTCCTCCAATTTGGAAGATTTAGGCAGCTCCATTTTTTTAATCCATCTATTCCTTTTCTCTTGGCAATATTTCACAAAGACCAGAGGCAAGAGGATCAATTCTTCGATTGCAGGAATGGAGATTAGCCCATTATTTTCAGAGAAGAAAACCCCAGAAAGCATCAAGCATTGTAAATTTCCATTAAAATGGTGCATTTCACTGCATATATATATATTTCATACTTAACCAGAGCTCCATAAAGCCTTAAATCAATTATATTTCCAGCTTTATTATGTTTAAGCATCTTTCTCATTCATTAAACAGGCAGAAAGGAGCAGAAAAAACCACCTCCTGCAGCAGCGAAGTCTGAGAAAGGTGATGTATAAGGGTTTTCTTTTCTTCATTTCTTTTCAGGCTGGGGACACTTCTCAGTTGCTCAGTGATCATCCTTATTTAATTACATAAAATAATTTTGTAAGAAAGAACGCTTCCAAATTTCTAATAGAAAAGTGGTTTTCTTTGAGGGTCTTTTGTCTGTAATTTGTTAATGTCACACTTGGGTGGGGAGTCTTAGCGATGATCCAAGCAGTGAAGACCATCTTCCTTCCGAGATATGAAAAAATTGCCTTTAATCGCAGTTTTCACTTCAAAATAAAGTAGAAGAAAGCGCAGCCATCTCCCCCCTGCTGATGGTCTTCACTGGGAGCAGCGGGTGGGCCCTGGGACCAGGCAGATCAGCACTGGGAAGGCAGGGCAGGGAGCGGGGAAGGGATTTTGTACCCAGGTTGCTTATCTTCTGCTTCTCTTGTCTACAAACTTCAGGTGAGCAGCCAAAGTCTGGAGACAGAAGCGGTTACAGCAGTCCCGGCTCCCCCGGGACTCCAGGCAGCCGTTCCCGCACCCCCTCTCTGCCCACCCCACCAGCCAGGGAGCCCAAGAAGGTGGCAGTGGTTCGCACACCACCGAAATCTCCTGCCTCTGCCAAGAGCCGCATCCAGCCCTCAGCTGCCCCCATGCCTGATCTGAAAAACGTCAAGTCCAAAATCGGCTCAACCGAAAACCTGAAGCACCAGCCCGGAGGTGGCAAGGTAAACACGGGGGCTCTGCTTTTCCAGGGGTCTGTCCGTAGGGACAGCGGGTGCTTGATGGTCTGGGAAGGGAGAGCAGCCCAGCAGTGAGCGGCTGATCTCCAGCCCAATGCTGGGTTTGGAGTTTTTGGGCCGTTTGGGTTGGGTGCTGGTCCTGAAATTGCTTGCCTGGCTTAGCGCAGTAGAGCTGTCCCACAGAGAGAGCTCCAGGGAGCTTGTGGTGTGGCTTTCACGGAGTGGCACGTCAACGTATGGACTGGCTGCCAGGGGAATGACCTTCCCTCCTGGTGTCTGGTTAAGGGAGAGCACTTTGTGCCCTGCAGCCCTCAAGAGTGGCAAGATCAGGGTTGTGTTTCTGAATCCCGTTCTGTGTGATCTGGAGCAGTCCCTTCAAGGCTGCCTCCGGGGCTTCGTTAGCGAGCACAGACAGGATGGTCTCCTCCCAGGCTTTTCCAAACACTGGGGGTTTGGATCCAGCTCTGTTGGCAAGGTTTGGGATTGTATTCTGCGATCAGGTGCTGTCTTGCTCCGTGATGCAGCGTGGCAGGGCCAGAGCTGGTGGCACTATTTCAACCCCTGCTACTTCTCACTCCCAGAGAGGCAGTTTCACGAGCAGCAAAGTGATCTCCGTGTTCCCAAGTGCTTGGGGAACCAGAGTCTTGTGCTAAATTTTGCGAGCCCAGCAGGGTTTGGGTGAGGGAATGGTGTGAGCTCATTCATCCCCGCAGCCCAGAGAGCAGCAGCGTGTGGTTGCAGAGCTCCAGCGGTGGTGTGGGCTGCTCAGCACCCATCCCAGCTGCTCTGCACCGCTCCCTTCCACTGTGTGGCCGTGTCCTGAGGCTTTTGTAAAATCCTCCTCGCTGGAGACGTGAAAGCACATGGTTGCTCTGACTGGTGACAGCCCGGTGGCTCTTAGACAGATGTTAAATAGCAGAACTGCACATCCCATGGCTGGTGCAGTCAGGAGTCCCCATGTGCTTGTGCTTGCCTGCCCCAGGGGGGTGACACCACCTTGTAGACCTTGCTCTGCGGCTTCTAATGCGACAGAGCTGTGACAAATCGTCCCCGAGCGCGGTGCATGCCATTTTGTGCAATTAGGTAGCTCCGTGGCTCTCAATGTTCAGCTTTGGCACAGGGGGGAGGCTTTGAGATGGCTTCTCTTCACCATTTTAAATAGCAGCGTGCTTTGCCATTCATTCCCTTACGTGCATTTTTCACCACGGCTGGTGATTTACTGGACAATGCACGTTTTCCTTCGCACAATAATCCGGGGGGGTGTCTGGAGCCTGGGCAGGGCTGCTCTGGCCATTGGTCTTGAGCAGAGCAGCATGTGTCCTTCCAGCTGCCCGTGTCCCAGGACCTCAGCCCTCCTGCTCACTTAGAACAAGACATAAAGTTTTCCTACTGCCCCCATAAAACACCCCTTTTCAGAGATTTTTAGAAGGAATCCTTCTATTTACTGTAAATTGGTTAAATTGTTTGCTTGTTCTTTTTAAACCAGCTTTTATGAGTTGTGTTTGGTGTTTTTTCTCTGTCCACTTCTCTCGGGCAGCATGTTTATCGCTGGAAGAGTGAGAACAGCTGAATTTGGGACAATTTGGTGCTCTTTGTGGGGGAGAGTGGCTGGGTGCTCTGTCGGGGATGCTCTGTTGAGGTTGCTCTTTAGCAGAACGATGCAGCTGGAGGAGAAGGGATTGATCCCACAAGTTTGGTCTTAGGGTGGGCAGAAGATGGGCCTGGATTTCAGCCCCCCAGCCTAGGGAAGCAGAAGTATGTGGGGCACACATGCCAGGCCACATCTTTTCCAGTATTTTTGCGTTGGCTGAGCATCTTTTTTGTTGCTGAATCACCGAGTGCTGCTCTGACAAAGCCTGGTCCAGCAGAACTGGGTCCTGGTCTGGGGGATTAGTTGATGTGAGCTTGGAAAATGATGCTGGAGGCGTGTGTCAGCCTTGGTGCTTCTCATGCTGAAGAACTGAGGTACAGCAAGGAGCTCTCCTTGCCACCACAGCAGGCTGGGGACATGCTGAAGCTCAACCAGCTTCATGGACCTCCTCATCCAGGGACTGCATGTGCGGTGTGATGTGACACTGCTCTCTTGCAGGATGTTGTGTCTGTTTTCCTCTCGTGAGGGTTGTGCTTCCAACGGGCTTTCTCCTCAGGGAGCACATGCCTGGTTAGGTGCCTGCTGGTTTTTACCTTCATTTACCTCTGGTTGATACTTGTGTAGGTTGTAAAGCCCATCCAGTCCATGTAGGGAAAGGTCTTCATCTTGGTCTTGTCTGGAATAGCTGCTCCTACGCATGGGGTCACTCCAGCATAGCTGCCCTTATAGAACCCAAATAGGAAAAAGAAGCCCTAAAGGGAAACAGCTTAATTAATTAGTACAAAAATCTGTGTGTGGGAGGAGAGGGCACACAGGCCTTGGGACTGGAGGGTGAAGTTAGCGTGGTATGTGGTTCCCCTGTGGCACCAGGCCATTTCCAGCCACTTTCCCACCCGAGGGGGCGTGAGGAATGTGCAGTAGAGCCGTTGGGGGTGGTCTGTGCTGCCCCTTTCATCTCATCTCATCTCTACAGGAGTTAAGAAAACTGCAGGCGTGGGATACATCCCTGGCAGCATTTGCTTTTTCTACTCGTTAACTGTAGAGGGAGTTTGAGCCCTGCACAGCACAGAGCTCAGGCTTCCTCTCCCAGACCATGCTGGACACTCAACTCCTGCTCTCCAGCCTGCTGCCCTGACCAGCTGCCCCAGTTTGCCCAGTTTGCTGAAGCTGCTGGAACGTGAGGCCATGTCTGTCTGTCCTAGAGAGGGGGCATGTTCCCCGGCATGGGAGATGGAGCCGAGCAGGCACTTTTCTCTCAGCTCCATCCTTCCTCCTTCCACTGGCTCTGCAGAAGCTGAGCCCGGAGCACTGGTGCCTTCCAGCACGTTTGCTGCCCAGCAAGTTCCCCGTTTTGTTCAATGAAATAAAATGGGAGTTAGCTGGCTTTTTGGCTGGTGTTTCTGGGCTGGAAACCAGGGCTGCTTTGCTAGCCAGATGTATCCAATCTCTAGCTGTAACCTACCCACCTCCATCTTCAGTTTCCATCCCCTGAGTAGACAAATCTCTGTAGCAACCCAGAGGTTCTCCTTTGCTCCTGGCACTGGAAGGCAGGTTCCTGGGTTTAGTGATGTAACGCATGGTCAAGCTGCAGATGGTCATGTTGTTTCTCACGCTCTTTTCTGGCTACCAAAGGTGCAGATTATTAATAAGAAGCTGGACTTTAGCAGCGTTCAATCCAAGTGTGGCTCAAAGGATAATATCAAACACATCCCGGGAGGAGGCAGTGTGAGTACCTTCACACTTTCAATGCACTATAATACTTCTTATTATAAGTGGCATGTTGTATACACTAAACTGCCAATGCTATCTGCAGCGACCCTGCCCTCAGATAGCTATTGGTGACGTGCAATGACTCTTTTCTGGCTACCAAAGGTGCAGATTGTTAATAAGAAGTTGGACTTTAGCAGCGTTCAATCCAGGTGTGGCTCAAAGGATAATATCAAACACATCCCGGGAGGAGGCAGTGTGAGTACCTTCACACTTTGAATGCACTGTAATAATCCTTATTATTAGTGGCATGTTGTATACACTAAACCCCCAATGCTATCTGCAGCGACCCTGCCCTCAGATAGCGATTGGTGACGTGCTGTCCTTTAACCCCGTTAACCCAAAAGACATGGTTAGATGAACCCTAACTAGTCCTGTACATGCCTGCCATGGACAGAACTAACTGACCCGTGTAGAAACCATGTCTGTAACAAAACATCCCGTTTAACCCAAAAGGTTTTTACACTACTTGGAAGGCTTAATGCCCCGTTGTCTGCAGGGTGGGTGGCCTCTAGCAGACACTGACGTAGTTGCTGATGCAGTAGATGGATAGATTTATAAGCAAACCCAGTCCTGGTTGCTTAATGTACTGCTAAATTGCACATGACTCCGCACGACGTGAAAGCGCAGGTTCCTGCCCGTTCCCATCAGGCAAGTATGTTCCATGCAAATATTAAGCTTTTCCTTGCTAATGAATGTGTCCAGCAGTGCCCAGGGAGGCTGAGCTTAAAGTAATATTGACTGAATTGATTTGAACGCCGGCATTTCCAGCCATTGCCGGAGAAATAGCCGGACTCAGCTTTCAGTTACTGTGCCAGAAACCTGGAGAAACTCCACAGAGGTTGGTGGATTTACCCCAGTCTCTCTGGAGACAGAGTTTGGGTCCAGGAAAGACGACGGACCAAGGAAGGAGCATCACTGAGACCCCAAAGAGTGCGACCCAGGGTCTGTGGTTGCCTGGTCTGTGGCCATCTGAGGAAGCTATTTGATGCTCCTCAGATGTTGCCTATGGATTTTTATTTTTTTATATGCTGTTTTTGATCTCTGTGGGCGCCCTCCCCGAGAAACCGAGCATTGCAGAGGGCTTGGCATGTAACCACTGGGACATAACTGGGTTTGCAACCTCCGTCTTAAATTTGATGTCATTCTGCATTTATTTAACGGGCCAGAGGAGCTGCTTTGTGGAGGTCAGACCTCCGTGAAGCAGATTCTGTGCTTGTTCTCCTCTTTCTTACCCCAGGGTCCTGCACTGGCTGGACTGCCTGGTGCGTGGTGGACCACTTGTTACGCCAGGAGTTAGTGTTCGTCACGAGTCATCTGTGCTGCGGCTGGTAATTAGCTTCAGCACAGGGTGATGACCTCATCCGTTTCTCCCCTGAGAGCTCACCCCGTGGGCAGTGGTTTGCGGTGGGCTAAGAAATATTTTGGATTTTTGGCTGGAGGTTGTCATCCCTCCCCAGGCTCTGCCGGCAGTGAGAACGGTGTGATCCCTGCCTGGCTGCGTTGACATGGAAAACAGCAGCTCAGCTCTGGGTGTGGGCACTGAGGTGGCTGGAGTGTGGCTGCACAGGCTGTCCTGGTGGCAGAGCTGTTCCTTGGGGCTCCTCCGATGGAGGGGCAACAAGAGACCACCAGCATTCGATGGCCATCGTGTCCTAACCCTCCACCACACTCAGTGGTGATGCCTGCCCAGACGTTGCTGCTTCGAGAGGAATGAACTCTCGCCACAGTAACCTGGGGTCGGTGCCTTTTTGGTTTTTTAAAGCCAATTGATGCTCTGACAAGGTGATTTGTTAGGAAAAAGTTGCCCTTTAGCGTTCCTGATGCCGAGAGTTGAGATCCCCCAGGTCTCTGGCACTGGTTTCCCAGACAGGCAACTCCGTGCCCCTTTTCCTTCCTTGCTAAAACGGGGAGGAACCTTCTCTGCTCCCCAGCAGGATGGTAAGGGTTAATGGAGTCCTGTCTGTGGAAAAAAAAAAAAAAAGGGAACTGGAATGAGGGCAGAAAGCGTTTCCATTGCTGATGGCTTGCTCTGGAAATGGGAGGTCTTTCAGTCCCAGGTCCCAGTGGTGCCCGAATTGCTCGTTGGCCCTTCAGGGTCATGGCAGGGATTAGAAAGGCACCAGTTGTCCTTTCTGGGGTCTGTTTCCTGCCTTCTGACTGAACCTAGCTCTCCTCCTGCCCGGTGCGTTAAACGTGTGATCTTTCCCCAACGCTGTCTTTCTTCATGTCTGTGTCTGCCATGTGCTCCTGGACCCCAGGGCTGCTTTTCTCCCCTCTCTCTGTCTCCACTCTCTTGTCGAATGTGGCTCTTGGTATGCGTGAGCATCGGAGACAAGGCAGGCTCCGGGATGGTGGGACGGTGGCTCCGAACCTCTGTTCCCCACCCCTTCCTTTTGATGATGGAGGGGGGGAAGTGTTTCTCAATGGTGTGCACAACCACGGTCCAGCACCGAGCTCTCGGGGTGGTGGGGCTGGTGGACACGGGGCCAACATGAGAACGGAAGGAGGCACCTTCACCCCAGGGCTTTTGAGTCAGCGGAGGGTGCTTGGGAGTGATGGGGAGCAGTGGCCACGGTGACTCCTTCCTGCTGGCTTGTGTTGGCCCAGAGGCTGGCTGGCTGCTTGAAGGAGTGTCAGCTCCTCTGCAAAGGTCCCTTTGGTGCTGGCACATCCTTCCTGAGAGCTGTGAGAGCAGCACACTCGCCCTGCTACGTGGTGAAAACACAGGGAACAGCGTCCGCTCCCCTTGAAATCCAGGATATTACTGGGAGCCAGACACTTCCCAGTGAGTAGGAACCAGCCTTGAAGTGTTGATGACCCCATTTCTCCTGCACAACCCCACTAACTCCAGCAACAACTGGCTCACACACAGATGGGAGTCCAAACCCAGGGTCCCAGGGTAATTTCTGGGGGTTTGGGGATGTTTTCTCACCCCCTTGTCTCCTGCTCCCCGTGTAGCCGGTGTGTGTGTGCTGTGATTTGCCGTTCCCCGACGCACCTGGTGGTCCCAGACCTCTCCAGTGTTTTCCAGTGTGGTGTTTAACAGCTAACGTGACCACTAAACAGCCCCACCTTAACCATCCCTCGTGTGTGCGTCTCGTGTGACCCCATTGTCCGTGCGCAAGAGGCCGCCGGCCCCGTGTCCCACAACCCGGGGCCAGTCTCCCAGTGGGGTGGTTTAACTGGAATTACTGGAGCCCACGCTCAGAGATGTCATGGGTAAAACAAATGGAAAAACAGAGCATAATATCATGAAATACTGTTCTGCTTCGATAGATGATGATTGCCATTTTAATTTATTCTTATGTGAAACTCCTGACAGATATTTAGACTTTGCTTTGTTCTTATTTTTTATTTTTTTTTTTTAACCCTTATTTCCGTTACAGCATTTTTCAGAAATGCATATTTTGGTCACTCTTTTAAAAGTTCTGTGCACATTGATCATTTCTGTTCTTTCAGTTTTTGTGGACATAAGCTTTATGTTTTACACCAGAAAAGGTATTTATTTTTTACGTTTTCTCTCTGGTATATCTCCTCCTTTTGGATGATGTGTATGCAAATCTTAATTAATTACCACTCCACTTTCTCTCTCACTTAAGCACTTTAAAAATTGCCTCTACTTCCCCCCTCTGTGGAGAGGTGATCTCGTGCATGCTGACATGTTAAGAGAGGCTACTGCACACGGGCATTAATGATCTCCCATTTCCGATGACAGTTTCTTTTGTATTATTAATCTTACTGGGGTTTAAGCTGTCCTTTCCCTTGAATCCAGATCAGGTGCCGGTGTGTGTTGTGCCTCCCCCTCCCCAGGTTTGCCCGTGGTGATGACAAGCTCATTGCCTTCTCCTTTCTCCTACGGACAGGTTCAAATCGTTTACAAGCCAGTCGACCTGAGCCACGTGACATCCAAATGCGGTTCCCTGGGCAACATCCATCACAAACCAGGTACCCTTTGACTCAGAAAAAAGGAGAAAACCAGGTACCCTTTGACTCTGAAAAAAAGGAGGAAAACCAGGTACCCTTTGACTCAGAAAAAAAGGAAAGAAAAACCTTTTTGACTTATTAAAAAAAGGAAAATAAGCCAGGTACCCTTTGACTCAGAAAAAAGGAGAAAACCAGGTACCCTTTGACTCAGAAAAAAAGGAAAAAAACAACAGGTATCTTTTGACTTAGAAAAAAAAAAAAGGAAAAAAAACAGGTACCCTATGACTCAGGGGAAAAAAAGGATGGGGGCTGGTTCTTGGGACTCAGAGGTGGCATCGTGGTGCGCATCTGGAGATGGGGAGAGGGTTTGGGGTTGTGCAGGGAACAAGGGGAGGCTTGTGGAACAGACCAGATCATCAGAGTGAGCCCCCGGGGTGCTGGACACTGATCCCAGGTCCATCATTGCCAGACCCTGATGGCTCAGTAGCTGGGGAGGGGTCTGGTGTGATCCATGGCCACCCTTGTCCGTGCCAACACATCGCTGGGACTGCTGGTGTTGAGGGCAGCATGATTAGCTCCCTGCCCTTGGTTTTCTAAAACACTGGATGTCTGTAAGCTCTGCACAGCATTCTTTGGGAAATCTCTTTACCCTGCTTCCCGTTTGCCCTGGCTCCTGGGTGTTCCAGGTGACCACGGGGTCCCTCTTGTGCCATTTCCCTGGTCCTCACCCTCTTCTCACCCTCAGGGTGCTTTGGTTGAGCCACCTCCAAGGGGCAGCTCAGACCTCACTGTTTCTCTCCCCCCCTGCCCTGGCTGACACAGGAGCTAACCCAGCTCGTACTCTTCCCTTCCAGGCGGTGGCCAGGTGGAGGTGAAATCTGAGAAACTGGACTTCAAAGATAAGGTGCAATCGAAAATCGGGTCCTTAGATAACATCAGCCACGTCCCTGGAGGAGGAAATAAAAAGGTAAAGGGGCACTGGGTTGGGAACGGGCCGGCTCTTCTGCCACGGGCATCTCTCTGCCCTGGGAGCAGGCGGGTGAGGAAGAGTGGTTGAAGTGTGGACCTGGAGAAGGTCCTGCTCCCCCAGCTCATCTTCAGACTGCCTGGCTCCTCCTCTCTGCTTACCAGGCACATTTGCTGCCTGTGGTCTGGCGTGGGGTGGGCTGTGCATACTCATCCTTCAGAGGACAAAAAAGCCCTGCCTGGGGACGGGCTGCTCAGCCACAGGTGGGCAAGGGCCTGGGGGCTCCTGGCCAGCACTTGCCAACCTGTAGGATGTTGGCACAGGTTGTGGCAGAGCTGCAAGGCTGGCAGTCTGTCCCCTTTCTGGCCACCTGAAGGAGCGTGAACGTACGCGAGATCCTCTCCTGTGGTTTCCTGCTCTTTTCTGCTGTTCTCTGAAATTTGTGCAGAAACGTGTTTGTGTCTCAAACCTCTCCCATCAAGGGCTGCAACTGCTCTTGGGCTCTGCCTTGCCAGTTGCTCCCAGTGGTGTGGCCCAGGGCTGGCAGCTCAGGGTGCTGCCTCGGTGTTGGTTCCCTGGTGAAAGTGGAGCATTAAAGACTTAGCTTTATTTAGAAAAGGTGACTCTGCAGTGGGCTGTCCCTTCAGAAGGAAGGTGATCTCTTCTTCCTTCGAGTCTTGGTCTCAGTTGAGCTCGGCCTAGAACTCTGTAGGGAGTTTTGTGCATTTAAATTGAAAACCAAAAGCCAGTCAGGTGAAATACTGAACTTGGGGTGAACCATTCCTGCTGAAAGCTTTGATGGTGACTTCACAGTAAGTCTCAGCTGAGTGAAACATGGCCAAGACCTCCCTCGGGGACAGTCCCATGCAGGGAGCAGAGCACCAAGTCGAGACTCCAGCCTGGTGACACCCCTGGTGGAATTTCTCCAGGGAAAAGCGGGTTTTATCTTGCTTGTTTTTCAAACAGGTTTTTTTTTCCTCAGGGGGAGGGGAAGGTTCTGTTTCGGCTCCTGTGTGTGTTGGCACTTTGTTCTTGGCCAGGTTTTCTCTGTGCACCTCCCAGCTCTTCATCTCCCAGCGGCGCTGGCCTCTGGCTGAGGGATCGCTTGCCTTCCTTACCCTTCTCTCGCTGCTGTACGCATCAGACTGCCCTGTGCTTCACTAAGCCCTTTTTCATCATTTTTATGATTCCAGTGATGATTCTTTCATATCTTGGCACGTTCACTGGGCCATAGTTTGAAGAACTTGCCCTTTGGAGGGGGAATTTATCTGCAAGGATGTGACCCAGCAGTCACATCACTTGCCTGAGCCTTCCTGCGGGGCAGTTGCCCACATCCTGCCTAAATCCACACCTGGAGGAGGCCATCGGTGTCACTGGGGTTCAGATGCCACCTCAGATTGTTTCCCTTCTCCAGCCCATTCCTGTTCACACCTCGACACTGGGGACCATCCTCAGGGAGTGCTGCTCTGAGGTGGGACACTATTCACGGGGAGGGAACAGGACACAGTTGAGCCCCATCAGCCCCCCATGTGGAGCAGCCATGGGCAGCTCCACTGCCCCTTCCCCAGCCTTTCCCAAGTCCCTAGACCCTCCTTTGTAACATGAAAGATCCAGATTTGGACACATCATGGAATGGTTTGGGTTGGAAGGGACCTTAAAGCCCATCCAGTGCCACCCCCTGCCCTGGGCAGGGACACCTCCCACCACACCAGGTTGCTCCAAGCCCCCTCCAACCTGGCCTTGAACCCCTCCAGGGATGGGGCAGCCACAGCTTCTCTGGCCAACCTGGGCCAGGCTCTCACCACCCTCACACCAAACAAGTTCTTCCCCAGATCTGAGATGATCTCAATCTCCCTCTTTCAGTGTCAAACCCTTCCCCCTCCTCCTAGGGCTCCCCTCCCTGATCCAGAGTCCCTCCCCATCTCTCCTGGAGCCCCTTGAGGGACTGGAAGGGGCTCTAAGGTCTCCCTGGAGCCTTCTTTTCTCCAGGCTGAACCCCCCCAACTCTCTCAGCCCCCCCTCCCAGCAGAGGGGCTCCAGCCCTGGGAGTGGGGGTGCTCTGTGCTCTGCCAAAGCACCGGTGCCAGCAGGATCTGCTCTCCTCTGCTGCCCAGGGAAAGCTCCCCCTGCCCCATCTCCAAAGGCAGTTGCTCTTCTTCCTATGAGCCAGTGAACGGCCCTATTTTTCAGATCTTTTACTCCCTGTTTTTTCTACTTCTTTCCTTCAATTTTTTTGGTCTTTTTTCCTTCTGGTTGACATGTATTGGATCTTCTTCTTTTTTTTTTTTGGTTGGTTGCTGATGCGTTTTTTGCACCCCACCACCTGTAGAGAGAGAAAGGCAAGGAAGACAAGACCCGGCCCCAGGCTGCTCGGAGCCCGAGCCCAGACCCCGTTGGGCTCCAGTCCCTGGTGCTGGAGCCACCCACCCCCCCGGAGAGCCAGCTCCCACCCTTGAACTCAGCTGGGGAGGGCACCAGTAAGTAGCAAACCCGATCCACTCCATCCCCTCTCCTCAGCCCTCGTGGTCGCTGGGAGAGAGGGATTTATCTCATGGAAGCAGCGTTTTGTGCCCAGTTGGGTTAAAGGATGCGCCGTTTGGGGATCCCCCCCCCCATCCCTCCATAAATCTCTGCGGGGGGAGTGGGAGCAGGACCCACCACCACACTGGGATCTTGGGCAGGATTTGGCAGCACCCCGAGATGCTCCAGCCCTACCCATTCCCCGTGTGGACTACTGGAAGGGACTGGGGGGGCACTGGGGAGGATGGGGCCACCGAACCGAGCCGTTTCCTCCCAGCTGGTGGTGACCAAACGATGAGTTTGCAGGTAAAACCAGCCTCTCCGAGGGCACCCCCGTGTCTCCCCCCCTCACCCCCCATCTCCTCTCGTTGCAGATTGAGACCCACAAGCTGACTTTCCGCGAGAACGCCAAAGCCAAGACCGACCACGGCGCCGAAATCGTCTACAAGTCCCCCACCATCTCCGGAGATGCCTCCCCCCGCCGCCTTAGCAACGTCTCCTCCACCGGCAGCATCAACCTGGTGGACTCCCCCCAGCTGGCCACGCTAGCCGACGAAGTGTCCGCTTCGCTGGCCAAGCAGGGCTTGTGATCGGGGCACGGCGGGGAGAAGAGAGGAGAGAAGATGAGGAGGGGGAAAAAAAAAAAAAAAAAAAAGCAGCAAAAAAAAAAAAAAAAAAAAAAAAGAAAAGAAACAAAAATAATAATAATCTGGCCTTCTTCCTCTGTTCCTTTTACAGCTGCTTCCCCATCCCCTTAATTGGTTAATGATTTAACCTGCTTTTACTGTTCATTCAGCTCTAGCTCCAGGACTTCAAAATCAGTGACACTATGAGGTACAAAACCTCCTCTCCCCCTGCTCCTCGGAG